CTCAGATTGTGGCACCCACAAGCGCTCTGTCTGCTTTGTGTGTTTACGGGTGAGCCCAGGTATTGAAAAAGAGTCCTGGGGCTGAGTCCTGGCTCAACCAAAGCTGTGACTGGAAGCCAGGATTCCTGGATGGTATATTTTGCTCTCCATGGTGGAAATTAATGCTTTCCGAGGCAAGATCTAGGGGGGAGGGATTGCAGGAAATTGCTACCTTGCTGACTCTGGAAGATAGGTATTGGCCTGCCCATTTTGACTCTTGTCTGGGGATTAGGTGAACCTTTGCCTCAGGCAGCCAGCCAAGATGACGTGACCAGGTGTTGCAAGGATTTCCGGGGAAGGGCTCCACCTGCTGAACTCTGCCCATGCATCACAATCCCAGCTCATAAAATGCTGGGTTCTCTCCCTCCCTCCCTCTCTTTCTCTTTATTTTTCCTGTCCTCCTCAAACCTACCTGAATTTACCCTCCAGCTACTGTTCTCCTGGTCTCAACCTTGATTTGCTCTTTTGTTTCGAGAATAAGGCAGTGGTAAGAGTTTCAGAACCCTGCAGGCCTGGGTTCAGCCCCCTCCCTTTGGCTTTCTCCCGGAGAAGCCAAGTTACAGGGAACCAGGCAGAGGGCCTCCTCGGTAGTGGCACCAGCCCCATGGAGCACCCTCCCATCAGATGTCAAAGAGAAAAACAAGTACCAGACTTTTAGAAGACATCTGAAGGCAGCCCTGCTTAGGGAAGCTTCTAATCTTTAATAGATATTAAATAGACAATGTTTAATGTTTTAATATTTTGTTGGAAGCCACCCAGAGTGGCTGGGGAAACCCAGCCAGATGGGCGGGGTATAAATTATTATTATTATTATTATTATTATTATTATTATTACTGTGCCCCCTTTAGCACAGCATAGTTCAAGGCTGATTATATTCTATGCCCCTGCATCATGTGTGCAGAGGGCCTGGTGCTTCAGCCACAGGCTGGTAAAGGTAAAGGGACCCCTGACCATTAAGTCCGGTCGTGGCCGATTCTGGGGTTGCGGCGCTCATCTCGCTTTATTGGCTGAGGGAGCCGGCGTACAGCTTCCGGGTCATGTGGCCAGCATGACTAAGCCGCTTCTGGCGAAGCAGAGCAGCGCATGGAAATGCTGTTTACCTTCCCACCGGAGTGGTACCTATTTATCTATTTGCGCTTTTGATGTGCTTTCGAACTGCTAGGTTGGCAGGAGCAGGGACCAAGCAACGGGAGCTCACCCCGTCGCGGGGATTCGAACCGCTGACCTTCTGATTGGCAAGCCCCAAATGCCCCCATTCCAGCCGTACATGAGAAAGCCAGAGTCTTGAGCAGAGCAAAAAACCGTGTTTTCATAGGGTCATTGGAAGCTGCCTCATATCTGAGTCACATTGATCAGTCCATGTGACTCAGTATTCTTGATACTGATGGGTAGCGACTCTCTGGCGATTTGAATCTTTCCCAGCCCTACCCAGAGATGCCAGGGTTTGAACCAGGACCATTTGCACGCCAAGTGTGCCTGCTCTGCCCCTGAGCTAATGCGCCCTCTGCTGCAGGATAGACGACTTGGCGGGTGGAGGGACTTTCAGGTAAGGAGAGGGGAGGGGTCCACTAATGTGCTCTTTCTCAAAGCATCACAAAGCTCTGGATCAGGGGTAGGCAACTTAAGGCCCGTGGGCCGGATGCGGCCCAATCGCCTTCTCAATCCTGCCCATGGACGGTCCGGGAATCAGTGTGTTTTTACATGAGTAGAATGTGTGCTTTTATTTAAAATGCATTTCTGGGTTATTTGTGGGGCATAGGAATTCGTTCATTCCCTCCCCACAAAAATATATAGTCTGTCCCCCCCCCCACAAGGTCTGAGGGACAGTGGACTGCCCCCCTGCTGAAAAAGTTTGCTGACCCCTGATCTAGTCCATGGGTAGGCAAACGAAGACCTGGGGGCCAGATCCAGCCCAACCACCTTCTAAATCCGGCTCGCGGACGGTCCCGGAATCAGCATGTTTTTACATGAGTAGAATGTGTCCTTTTATTTAGAATGCATCTCTGGGTTATTTGTGGGGCATAGGAATTCGTTCATTCCTCCCCCCCCCCTTGCAAAAAAATATAGTCCGGCCCACCACATGGTCTGAGGGACGGTGCACCGGCCCATGGCTGAAATAGGTTGCTGACCCCTGCTCTGAATCAACACCAGGCTGTCACCTTGAAGCCTCAGCAACACCCCTCCCCCTGGACATTTTATTTCAGGAGAAAAAGTTCTGCAAAGCAATAGAATACGTGGGGAGCTGATGTGCTGTCAGCACTCAGTTTGGGTTTCCTTGGCTCAGGTTTGCTTGTTGCTGTTGTTTTTACCACAGGGTACATGCAACAGCTCTGCCTTCTTCCGCCCTGTCTCACAGCAGATCCCTCCCTCATCCACTCCCTGGGAACAGGGAGCCGCCAGCAGTGGCTGGGAGGGGTAGGGAGAAAGGTGTTGACACTAAACAGTCATAGCAAAGGAATTGACTGCGGTAGAGCCTGGGGCAGGGAAGGGGGAGAGCAGAGACTGGCAGAGCCTCTCCTCTGTGCCACCCCATACCCTTCCCTTTCCCACGTTCGTCACGCTGGCGTGCAACGCGACCCATCTTCTCATTGAGGCATAGACGTGCGTGTGGATTTCGGCTCTGTGGATTCACATTTGGCAATGCTGTGTGTGTACGAGAAAGAGAATTATGGGTGGGGGGAGTGATGAATGCATTAGGTGTTGTGGCACAAGGAAGAAGAATCTTTGGCGCAAGGTGCGTCTACGCTCCACAGGGCATGCGTGGAACGCTCTCTGCGGCCCTTGTACCTGATGCGAATGTCGTTCTCGGTGTGATTCATGCCGAGAGCAGTTCTGGTCTCTGCTGCGACTGGGATTAGTTACGTAACTCGGGGAGGCTTCCTGGCTGTTCCCTGGACTCCCAGCTGGGCTCGGCCTTGATCTGGTCTCGCAGGGAAGCAGCTGTGGGCTTTGGCCCGGGCCCAGAAATGTGGAGAGCTGGCCAGCTGTCTCGCTGCCCCCAGACTTCCCACCATGGATGTCTGTGGACATATGAGTTGACAGGAGAGGAGGGGAGCTGGGGGTGTGGGCACTTCAGCTTCTAACCCCATCCGGAGCGCTGGCTTTGAGCCAGCCTCAGGTACGAGGGAGAGGTTCAGGTTTCTCTCCCTCTCTAATAACTGGGTCTCGTTCTCTGTCAAGGAAACCCTGAATTATGCCAATCAACGTAATACACGTAAAACGCTTCTTTCAGTGGAGAGCACTATTGCGGGGGCATGAGACAGGCAAACCATAGCTTTTAAAAGCTTGTCTAGCCAATTAGGGTGAAGCTACAGCAGGGAAATGTAATTGCTAAATGCAGTGTCCATATTCAAGAGGCAATATGCCTGTGATTATTACATGCCGAGGGGCAAGCAAGATGGCGGTGGTGGTGTTTATCCTCACATGGACTATTTATCTAGCCGCAGACTGCTGGACTAGGTGGTCTGACCCTGGCAGATCCTAATGTTTGTTCCTAATCCACGATACCCCCACAATTACTGACTTAACCTCAGCAACTCAAAACTGGCCAAAATACTGCCCCTGAACAGGGAGGGGAAGGGAGCCTTTGGTCATCGGATGCTGTTGTACTACAACTCCCATCATCCCTGGCTGCTGGGTTATGGTTCCAACAAGCCCCAGAATGTGGTCCAGGAACGGCCAGATTGAGGTGGTTCTGTCTGTACTTGCTGGAGCCCCTAGTCACCATGAAGTAGGTTGAGTGACCTGTTGAAGCAGAGGATCTTCTGAGACAGGAGTCTCTTCTGCAAGAAGCCCTCTCACTTCTCATGGTGAGAATTTCAGCATGACCAGTAGTCAGGGATGATGGGAGTTATAGTCCAGAAACATCTGGAGCACCACAGGTAAACACAGCCCTGATGTAAGAGAAAGGCTGGGATCCCACAGCCAATCGTAGTCTCCTTGTGGGACCTGCCCATCGGGTGGATCTGCAATGGCTGTCATGGCTTGCACTTCAGGTACATGGAAGAGTTCCTGAAGAAAGTCCCGGGGAGATTAATAATAATAATTTATTCCCCGCCCATCTGGCTGGGCTTCCCCAGCCACTCTGGGCGGCTTCCAACAAAATATTAAAATACCGTAATACATCAAACATTAAAAGCTTCCCTAAACAGGGCTGCCTTCAGATGTCTTCTGAAAGTCTGGTAGTTGTTGTTCTCTTTGACATCTGGTGGGAGGGCGTTCCACAGGGCGGGTGCCGCCACCGAGAAGGCCCTCTGCCTGGTTCCCTGTAACTTGGCTTCTCACAGTGAGGGAACTGCCAGAAGGCCCTCAGAGCAGGATCTCAGTCCAGGGCAGAACGATGGGGGTGGAGATGCTCCTTCAGATAATAAGGAAACATTTCCTCTTTCTTCCTTTAGTGCAGCCTTGATTCCAGCACACTTGTGGGGCTAGTGATGCTTGGGCAAAAGGCCATTGGGACGCTTCGGCCTACGTTGCTCTGCCTCCCTTTCCAATACCATATAAGGCCCGCTGTGCCCCATGGCGGAGATGGGGGGCACAAGAACTTACCCAGCCCTGGTTTGACCATTGGCTGTGTGCCATGGAAGAACCTGGAAATGCCAGCCCCATTCAAGGGCTACCTGTGGAGTGGCAGCTGAGGGAAGCAGAGCGTTCCTGTGGAGACAAAACCCTCTCTTGGGGGGAGAGTGGCTCTCCTGAACCTCCTCTGTGCCCAGCTTTCCTAACCCTGAATAGATGTGCACTCTGCCTGTGCTCCTCAGCTCTCCGTAGTCTGAGATGCTTCTCTACCATCTTGCCTTCTCCTTGTGATATTGCCTGCCCTCCACTGACTTCAGGCAGATCCTATCTCTCTATTTTTTCATCCCTCTCCTGTAGCATCATGCCCTCCACAGATGACTCAGCTGCTTGCATCTGCAGAATCACACCCGCTCCTCACTCTCTTCTTCTTTCCCTATGGCAGTAACCAGCTGAGGCCCCCCATCCGGGAGTTCCAGATGGGTCTTGGATCAAAGTGATTCCCGTCCCTCGGAAGCAGGAGACAAACCAATCTTCCAGACATGGAGGTGAAGGGGCAACTCATCAACTCATCCAGCTACAGCTCTTCAGGTACCTTCCTACTGATACATCTGATGACACCCCGCCCCCCCAAAAAATATTTTTTTCCCTTCCTGCCTGGCTGATCACCTCGTCCTCCCATTTCTGCACCCTGTGAGAGTTAAATCTTTTTTAATTTTTTTAATTTAAATATTTTATTATTAAAATAATTCAACATTAATACATATTATGAATATACAAACATTGTATGAAATGTATGTTTCTGTGAGAGTTAAATCTGGGACTAGCCATAGATTTCAAACCTTTGCTGACCCTTTTATTCAGGTGTGGGGAAACACGGACCTGGGGGCTCAATGTTGCCCTGCAGACCCCTTTATGGGGCCATTGAAACTCTCTCTCAGCCACATCCCCTCTCCCCAGACCTCACCCCTCATGCTGCTTTGCACCCCAAGTGTGTCCCTTGAACTCTGACCCTGCCTCTTGACAAACAGGGAGGGTGTGTTTTGTGTATGTGTGTGGGTGTAGAAACTCGCCTACCATACAAAGGTGAAATTTGAAATGTTCCATCACCCTGTTGTCGAATTTCCCTCGTTAATTTGGCTATTTCCGCATATTCCAGAAGAGTGGCAGTACAAGGTCATGGAATATGCGGAAATAGCGAAGTTAACAGGGGAAATTCGACAACAGGGCGATGGAACATTTCAAAAAGAATGGGGGGAAATTATGTTATGTATAGGATAAGGTGAAATAGTGAAATCAGTAGAATGGAAATAAACCTCATAATGGGAAATTAAAAGAAACTTTATTGGACGTTAATGACAATATGAATCAAAACGTAAAATACAATCAAGGTAACTAATTGTATAGTATAAATGAATATAAACAAAACAACAAGACGTGTACATACAGGAAGATTTATTTGTATATAGACACTGTATGGATAAAGTTGAAATAAGAACAGCAATATACAAAATCGATAAAGACAATGTGAAAAATGTAGAGATTAAAAAGCCAGAAGAAGGAAGGAGGGAAGTCAACTCTTAGGAGTAAATGTAAATGTAAAGTAATGTGTATATGCATAGTAAAAAGGTAAAGGGACCCCTGACCATTAGGTCCAGTCGTGGCCGACTCTGGGGTTGCGGCACTCATCTCGCTTTATTGGCCTAAGGGAGCCAATACAGCTTCCGGGTCATGTGGCCATCGTGACTAAGCCGCTTCTGGCGAACCAGAGCAGCGCACGGAAACGCCGTTTACCTTCCCGCCAGAGCGGTACCTATTTATCTACTTGCACTTTGACGTGCTTTCGAACTGCCAGGTTGGCAGGAGCAGGGACCGAGCAACGGGAGCTCACACCGTCGTGGGGATTCGAACTGCTGACCTTCTGATCGGCAAGCCCTAGGCTCTGTGGTTTAACCCACATCGCCACCCGCATCCCTGTGTATGCATAGTATGTAGTTATAAAATCAATAAAGATTATCTTCCAAAAAATAATAATGAAATTTGAGTTTGTTGCTCTGCTAGCTTTTGCCTCTTGCCCCACCCACCCCTGGCATGTGGGCCTCAGAACATTGCCCACAAGGGACTGCGGCCCTCAGGCTGGAAAAGAATTCCCGCCCCCGCTTTAATCATCTGCTCTGCTCTTTCCTCCGCAGAGGCTTTGCAGCGGGACCTCTGTCCGCGGATCCGGCTGGAGCGGGTGCAAGAGCTGCTGGAGAAGCAGCGGTCGCTCCAGCAAGTTCTCAGCCTGCGCCTTAAGGAGCTGCGCCGCATTTGCCTTCAGGAGGCTGTGAGTACCCGTTGGCCGGAGCACGGCTTGATGTGGGCGGGCGAGGGGCTGGCGCTGCCTCTAGGACTAGCCAAGACAGTTTCTGGCAGCGTGGAAAGTTGAAATCGTCCCTGGATGTAGAAAGCAGCCTGTGTCCCGTCAAGACGGTAGATTCTTGAGAATCTCCGTTTCAAGAGGGCAAATTCCTGGTCTGTGTTTGCGGGGGAGCAGAGGGTGAAATCCGAGGAGAAGTAAAAAGTAGAGACCTCTTGAAATTTTCCTCCCTATTTGTGAGTAGAGAAATTGGGGCAGAGGAAGCCAGGAGATGAACAGCTATCCAGTGGTGTCTTCGTTTTTTAAAAACATTTTTATTGATTTTCCAATAAAAACAGCCAATCAACATATCCACATCATAAGCCAATTAAAAACAAGAAACTAAAATTAAAGAAAGACCAAATTGTAATCCAAATTGTAATTATTAATTTTTCCGGGCTCCCCATAGTCTGGACCTCTGAAGCAGGTCCTGCGTTGAGCAAGGGTGAGAAGGCTAGTTGACCATCAAGATTCCATCCAACCTTTCGTTATTCTAGATAAGTTGGGTTCAGATAATCTAGGGTGGGGATGGGGAGCCTGTGGCCCTTCAGTTGCTGTTGGGAGTCCAGCTCCCTTCAGCCACTCTCATCAGCATACCCAGCCCAGTGTTCATGGACTATGGGAGTTGGAGTCCAGCAGCCTCGGGGGGGGGCATAGATTCATCATCCCTGAAGTAAAGTTTTTATTTTATTTTATTTTCAAGAAAGAACGGGGAAGGCTTATTTAGGAGAACCACCGTAAGTGAATGAAAACGCTAGCAGGATCCTAATAACACTCCGAATGTAGCAAATACCATGGGCGATACGGAGAAATGCAAAATACGGGCGGTGAAATATTACGCAGTTGAAAACGTTGACAGTATAGGACCCAGGGAGGGGATGGCGGGAAGTCTGGAGTGTCGGAGAAATCTCTAAAATATGCAAATGTATTTGGTATTGTTATAACTTCACACTTGTGAAATCAAATAAAAAGTATTGAAGTAAAGCTTTTAGAGGTTGCGAACAGATCAGTTTTGGAAGTGCGCTGCAGAACAAATAAATGCATGCAGATCTGGCTGGTTTTGTGTGAGCTGCCAAAATCCAGCTGGTCTTGATGCAGAATTATAATCTTGAGCACAGAAGATTCACAGGTGTCCCAGCCTGACCCAGGATGCCTCACCTGGGCAGTATTGACAAACGCCGCTTGCATCCCTTCCCATTGCCAGGAACTGACAGGACAGTTGCCTCCCGAATACCCCCTGGAGCCAGGGGAAAGACCCCAGCCTGTGCGCCGGAGGACGGCAGTTGCCTACCGAATTCCCACTGCCTTCAAGAATGAGGTGAGCGGAGGGGGCGGGGGAGAGTGAGTGGTGGGGAGAGGGGGGCGTTTCAGGGGCAGCTCTGACAATCCTCCCGTTGCCTTGCAGGAAGCGCCTTCCTTGGAGGAGCTGACTCAGGAGCTGGCTCTGCAACAGCAAGTGGCAGAGGCCGCCCGCCGCCTCACCGTGGCTCCAGATCTGACGGCTGAGCAGCGCCGCCGCCGGAGGCAGGTCCAGGCAGACGCCGCCCAGCGCCTCCGGGAGCTGGAGGCTCAGGTGGCAGAGTTCCGGGTGCGACTAGGCAAAGGCCCCTCCCAGAGGGGCAACCATGGTGCGTTGCTCGTCCACCCTTTAAACCCTGTCCCCCTGCCATCTGTGGGTGAATTCCACCCTGCTGTACCCCTTGTGCAGAAGATTTCTGCTTGTGCCCGTGGTGGCGGAGCCAGGGAGGTCCTTCACGTGTTGCCAGACTCCAGCTCCCAACATTGACCGTGCAGCCTGGAGCCGAAGGGAGTGGGAGTCCAGCAACACTGGGAAGGCCACATGTTCCCCACCTCTGGTTTGTGCCATGGAACATCTTCGCCCTCCTCTCCATTCCACCGCAGCCTTCAAAATCTGAAGCACGCCTTCAACATCTGCTTCATGGGAGCAGGGAGACCTTCCAGGGCATATTTTGTGGGTGGCCCTAACCACTACTGGAATGCAGCCCTTGACAGCTTTCCACTGGGATAAGGACTCTTGGTCCAAAAGGTGCCCCTTCCCCTGGTAGCCCAATAGAGTGAGTGCATTTTCTGGCAATGTGAGGGTTTCCTACCATGATTCCTCCTCTTGTGTTGGAAGTGAACTTGTGTGAAGGTAGCCATTCTCCTACCCAAACTGTTCGGTGCCCACCCTATCCTTCTGGTATCTTAGTCATCACACCCTGTTTTCTGATTGATCCCTGATTTATCTCTCTTTCATCAAAACAAAACAAAAAAGAAGAGGCTTTCCATTCAGAGAGCAGCTCCCTCTCCGAATCAGCCAGCCATGAAAATGGTAAGTGTGGTCTGTGTTGTGACTTTGACTCAATACACAACAGTCTGCGGCCCCCTGCGTTTCTTTCCTAGATTAAGGAGGGAGCGGTTGGTGGTTCTGGGTAAACGACAAGAGGCTAAAGGGGTGCCTTTGTCAGGTTTAAGGTGCTGGTTTTAACCTTTAAAGCCCTATACGGCCTAGGACCCTTGTACCTACAGGACCGTCTCTCCTGGTATGTCCCACGGAGCACCTTACGGTCTTCAAACAAAAACATCTTGGAGGTCCCGGGCCACAGGGAGGTTAGGCTGGCCTCAACCAGAGCCAGGGCTTTTTCGGCTGTGGCCCCAATCTGGTGGAATGCTCTGTCACAAGAGACTAGGGCCCTGCGGGACTTGACATCTTTCTGCATGGCCTGCAAGACAGAGCTGTTCCACCTGGCCTTTGGCCAAGGCACAGTCTGACCCCCTCCTTTGGTAATCCTCATAGACCTCTAACCCAATGTTTGCCATTATTTGATTCTGAACTGATTTTAGAATGTATTTCAATTAATTGACTGATTTTATGTAAATTGTGCTATTTTTACTGTTGTTAGCCGCTCTGAGCCCAGCTTTGCCTGGGGAGGGCGGGATATAAATAAATTATTATTATTATTATTATTATTATTATTATTATTATTATTATTATTATTACCGTAAATGAGAGATGCTGAAGGCTCAGGCTCCCTTGGTCCCTCATCTTTTGCCCCGGAGATGATGAAGCAAAGAGACTCTGCATAAGTGTGCTCAAAGTCTTACCTGCCCATCTGCTGGTATAAAGGGGTGTGTTTGTGGGTGGCGTCTTAATGAATGAATGAATTGAAAATAGACCCTACTTTGGAGTCAGCTTCTTGGAAGAAGCATGTACTAATGTGGAAGGGGTGAGGGTGGGGGAAGAGAACCTTCTCATAGCACATTTGCCAAACCAAATCAAAGGTGGCGAAGAAACCCTCAAATGTAACGTGGCCAAAATAGCTTTGTTGGTGTTACTTATTTTCTGCCCTGAAAATGGGCACATCTAAGGAGGGTGACTCATTGGCCTGTAGCATTGTTTACTGTCCCCACAGTGTTGGGGCACCAGGAGAACAGAGGAGCAGGTGTGGCCCCAGCATTGAGCAGTGCTGTTGATTCGCCCAGCCGAGTGAGAGCACAGAACCCAGTTGATGCAGCATGCGGGGGAACTGAGTCGGATGAGCTGGTACCTCCTCTAGGAACTCCCCGGTCCTCCTCCGAAGGACCCTCATCCTATGGTAAAACTGCTCCTGGCCTGTACCATTCCAGACTGCAGGCAGCCGCTGCATAATGGCATACTTTCTGCCCCTTTCTGCTAGGACTTCTAACTTTCACCCTTGCATTGTGTCCAGCCGTCTGCAATGCAGGAATATGCAGCTGTCCCTTATGGGGATCAAACCTGCAACCGTGGCGTCATCAGCATCTGAAATATCCAGGCTGAGGATGATCACATTTATGTTCAGAAAGCATAAACTGTTGGACTACCATATTTTTTTATTGTTGTTGTTTTTTGCCGAGGTAGGGGTGTGTGGATGCTTCTACTCTGTGCCCTGTGCTCTGTCCTCAGACGACCCCCACAGCTTCCACCCCTCCAAAGTCTCCAACCACCAGGGGACTTTTTTTGACCGTCCTTCGCCACCTAAGGCCCGAGATCACCTGCGTGCCATCTCCAGCAGCCCCGACCGCCGACCAGGATGGCGGCTTTTGCAGCCGGACCTGTACAATGAGGGCAAGGACCGCAGGAACTCTGTTGCCAGCCCTGCCAGGTGACTAGCGGATGCCTTTGGCCTTTTGCATGTGTCTCTCCAGTAACAAAGTGAACCAGAGGGAAGAGGGAGTTTGCTGCTGAACTGATTGACGCCCAGGGAGCCCCATTAAGGGTCCATTGCAAGGACACGAGCAGCAAAAGGAGGTGGGACTGTAGAACATCAGGCTGAAGAGGCAGGGTGCCATTTTTGAATGCTGCCCCACATAAAAGTGCAAAACACAAAGCTCCCCGCCAATGGAAAGCTGGCCTATGACGGAGAAAGGGAGTGAGCTAGACTGTAACCCAAGTGCTGGCCTTCTATGGCAGGGTGTTTGGGTTTGTTTCTTCAACAGAGAGAAACTTTAAAAAAAAAAATGATGCCTGCCTAAAGGTAAGGTAAAGGTACCCCTGCCCGTACGGGCCAGTCTTGACAGACTCTGGGGTTGTGCGCCCATCCCACTCAAGAGGCCGGGGGCCAGCGCTGTCCGGAGACACTTCCGGGTCACGTGGCCAGCGTGACAAAGCTGCATCTGGCGAGCCAGAGCCGCACACGGAAACGCCGTTTACCTTCCCGCCAGTAAGCGGTCCCTATTTATCTACTTGCACCCGGGGGTGCTTTCGAACTGCTAGGTTGGCAGGCGCTGGGACCGAGCAACGGGAGCGCACCCCGCCGCGGGGATTCGAACCGCGACCTTTCGATCGCAAGCCCTAGGTGCTGAGGCTTTTACCCACAGCGCCACCCGCGTCCCTGATGCCTGCCTAGCAATCTTAAATTATGGATTAGAAACCAGGACAGGGCCCTGTTTCGATGTATTCACCTTCATCAGCTAATTTTTAAAGGGTCGTGTAAGACTATTAGATAAATATATTTTGTTATTTTCTACGTTTCTCAAGAATAACAAAATGCGCAGAAAAGCTCAAATAACGCTGCGGGGCGAGAGGCTAATGGTAGCTAATTGTACATGAACATGTACAGAGTGCTGTACGTAGGGGCTGAATGGGACTGGCTCTTTTAGGAATGATTTTGTCTTCGCTTGTTTTCAGCCCAAGCCGCACGCTCCCCAGGAGTGCCTCCAGCTTCGAGGGCAGGAGTGTGCCTGCAACCCCAGTGCTGGCAAGAAGCGCTTGCACAGGCGGCCACCAGTTCCGGTAGGCAAAATGCTGGGTTTCCACCCCCAGGGGCTGGATGTGAGGTTGGGCTGGAGGCAGAGTGGGGTGGGGGTGTATGTGGAATTTGTGAGAAGTGTAGCTGATCATAATCGGTGCTTTTTTCGGGGGGGGCGCAAGGATACGCATACCCCTAAACATTTTGTGAATTTAAGTTTGGCCTCATTGAGGGGCAGTATTTCAACATGAGTAGGAAAATGAGAGTACCCCTAAACATTTTTTAGAAAGAAAAAAAAAAGTACTGATCATAATTATTATTATTATAAGATAAGAAAGTCACATTTTTATAGATGTTTTTATAATTATAGACCTACTACATTCTAACAGTCACCAAATTGACATCTAAATCATTCTACGTTAAAATAAACTTTAACCTCATGTGATACAGCTATAAATACATTCTAAAAAGTTATATTAAATATTGTTTTAAGTTTCTGTATCGTAAATTATTATAACTGCAGCACTGAAAAGGCTTTAAATAATTCTAGTTGATGTTCTCGTTTCATATATTTAATAAAGGGGGATCTTTCTCTACCTTTATGTTTGCCTTAAACAGACCGTTTCTGTTAATTTAGTCATAGTGGCAACAAATTTTATCAAGCCATTCTTGTTGTGTTGGAACTATTGGAGTATGCCATTTCAATATTTTGGCAGCTGTTAACAAAGCCCCATCTAAATTAGAATGTTCTGATCTCACATCTTCCTTTAAGATACCCTAGAAGAATTATCAGAGAGTATGCGATACACCTGTTTCCCCCCAAATAATTATTGCATGACTGCCAAACCCGTGACTTTCTCCTCACATCTGCAACAGGTTCCACAAACATCTGGAATGGCTTCTCTTGACACCTCTCTCTCTTCTCTGTCTCAGGTCCGAAGCCCCAGCTCTACACCCCCGGCAATGGTCAGGCAGCCACGACTCCCAGCTCGGACCCCCGAGCCGCGACACCAGCGCTGACCGGGCCTCCCTCTTCGCCGCTCGGACCCGTCGCAGCAACAGCTCGGAAGCCCTGATTGAGCGGGCCCCTTCGGATGACCCCCTGTTCCCCGCTGCTCCCCCTTTTAAAAGTGCAGAGGCCCTGACCCCTTCCATCTCTGGCCGCAACCCTCGGCCCCCTTACAACGACCTCCTTCTGGACTACTACCTGGAACGCAGGTGCTGGGGCGGCGGCGACCACCTTTCGCGCCGGGACGGGCCCCCCCAGCTGGAGTGGGGGGCCTTTCCCGAGAGCCCGCTGCAGCGCCGAGCGCGCCCGGCTGCCCGCACCAAATCCTGCGGCCCGCTGCTGCCCCCCCAGTCCCGGGAGGTCGGTTATGGGCCCCCGCTGCCCCCTCAGCGCAACTTCCACAAAGCCCTGGCCCTGGAGGGACTCCGGGACTGGTACCTGCGCAACGCCGGAGTCAGCCAGCGGGGGGCGCTGGAGAGACGGGGACCCTCGCACCCCAGCCACCAGCCGCTCCGCGGCTACTACGAGCCAGCTGCCGCCAACCCCGAGACGGGCTACTATGGGGCGCCAGGGGGGCTGCCCCACTCAGTGAGCTATGCCGGGCAGCCGCTATATGGCAGGTATGGGGCACGACTGCACTATTTGCCCCGGTAACTGCATCCGCCCCGTTCATCCTGCTTGCCTTACGCCACACCCCCTAACACCACTTCCGCAGAGTCTGTCTGTCATTCTTTCTGCTCTCTCTCTTTTTTCGGGCACTTCCACCATGCTGCACTTTTCCCCAGCTGCTTGGGAATTCTTGTGCTTTGTTTTCTGTTGTTGTTTCTCCCCACCCACTAAAAGTGCATTACTGGGGGGTTTTTTGGGGGGGTGGAGGAGCACCCTTTTGTTGCTGCCTCTTGGTCCATTTCCGAAGGATTTTGAGCGGCCAGGGGGCTGGAGTTTGGGGTGGACTGTCATGGGATGAAAGGAAGACATCTATACTTCTTGCTGTGTTCCTCCTTGCCTAATTCTTTCTTCTTCTTCTTCTTCTTTTTCTCTCTCTCGCTCCCTTCCGCCTTTTGATGCCCTGCTATGCCCTCTCAAGACCCTTTGGGGAACTCCTTTACATGGATGACTCTGCTGGCCTCTACAGCTTGGACTCCACAGAGCAGCCACCCCCGGGGACATTGGTCTGACCCCCCCACTCTGCTTTTTTCCCCCAAGGGGAAATGGAGTTTGGTCTCTTTTTCTTTTCTTCGCTGGTGCCTCGTGTGTGCGTGTGTTACACCATGTTGGGGGGGGGCGGGAATTCCCTGCTGGCAGGGTTTATATGCTATATCTATATATCTGTGTGTGTATGTGTGTGTGAGAGAGAGAAATTGAGAGTGTGAAGGGGGGTTGTTGCATGTCACACTGGACACACAACTGGGGGGAGACCAGAAATGTCTCTCCAGTTCTTCCTACACATTATTAAACTTTTCCGATTTGAGATTTTTTTTTAGGGGGGATATGTATTTACTGTACCCCACTGCCACTCACTCCCCTCCCCAAGGGTTTAACTGCTGCAGGTTGCATCCTCTTGTGTTCCCTCGGGAGTGGTGCAACATTTCTGCCCTGGTGCTGTGGGTCAGGGTGTGGCGTTTTCAACCCGAGACCCTGGAATGTATCGTGGAGGGGTGTGCAGATGTTTCTTGTGGGCAAAAGGCTGCATAGTGCAGACTGTGGAATTTCAGTTCTCTTTAAAAATGTCCGGAAAAGGGGGAAATAATCTAACCCACCCCCACCCCCCACACCACATGAGCAATTTCTGTTCATCCCCCTGCCCACTTCTGACAAGGGGTGTTTGGGGGGAGACTTCTGCAGAAAAGGGACTTCAGGTAAGGGAAATGCAAGCTCCTTTTTTAAAAAAAAACCTCCAGCTGCTTCCTGGCAGGTGAAACTGGGATGGGTGCTATAGAATGAGAGTTCTTGCTTTTAGTTCATGTCAAATCGAAGGTGAGGAACATGTCTCTCTCCACCCCCCGCCCCCCACCCCCGTCGTTGCCCAGAGGTTGTTGCATAACAGTGCCCATGACCCATGGCTTTGCTGCCTGGGACTTAATGGAGTTGGGAACCCAACAAGACCTTTGAGAGCCACAGGCTTAGTGCCCCATAATAATTTTAAAAATTATGTAGAAAGTGGGGTGGTGTCAGAAGCTACCGGCTGAAACGGCTGCCCGTTATGGTGGCTGTGTGAACCGCGGGGGTTTCTGTTACAGCTGCGAGTGTGAAATTTGACTCGGTCCGCGGGCGAGTGTGGCTCCCACGGGAAAACAGGCAGGCAGACTTTTCACATGTGGGAAGATCTCTGTAAACATGGGCGTTTGCCACACAGCAGCCCCAATGCGCAGCGCTGCCTGTCCCATGTCTAAAAAGCACAGGCAGAGAGACCCCTTCGCGAACCCCATTCAACCATGCCACCGCCTCCCCCCCGCAATGTTACGAAGGGGAAAAAAAAACCCTTGCTTTCATTTAAAAGCTTTTTTAAAAATGTGATGGTTTTTCCTCTTCACAGCTGCACAACAAGTGGTCACGTTGTTTAATAATCTCTGTTTTTGCCCATTGAATCCAGATCATACTTGGGGACAGGGGCGGGGTAAGGGAGGGGGTGGGGTGATACCCCTCTCGCCACTTCCCTCTGTGACGGACCAAGGTTCACAGCAGCAGAGTCACTGTCTTGCGTGTCTTTTTAATATTCACTGCTGTACAGATTGTATATTGGGGGCCTGAATGTAAAACTGAGCACTGTGCATATGAAATGAGAAAGGGTTTCTATAATAAAGATTGTAAAGGCGAGCGAGGCTGTGTTGGGTGGTGGCTTCAGGTACCGAGTCGAAGTGTCTTGTGTTCTTGGTGCAAACAGCATGCCACTGGAGGCGAGAGCAGAAATAGGAATCCACTCCTGGCCCTCTGGATTCTGTTTTGCTCTGCATTAATCGGGATTGGCTACTCTTTCCTGGTTCTATACATAGAGTCACTAAGAGAGCAATCAGAATTTCCCCCCTGTGTGCCGAGACACAAAGGGAGGCATCCACCTTGACTGGGAACAGGCTTAAGAGGAGCAACTAGCCCCCAGTGACTTGACCAATGTAAAAATTTGAAGTTTTTAGTTTGTAGGTATCATACCACTCAATATCCCCCCTTTTTTTAAATGTAATACCAACTATTTATTGTATTAAAAAGACATTTCAAACATTAAGTCAAATGCATTCCAATGGAAATACAATCTAGTTTCTCAGGAGACCAAAAGAAAAGAAAAAAGTATCCACTGGCTGCCAGGCTATGGAGCTATATCCAGGGTCTGTCTGTTGTTTATCTGCAGATACCATCGGTGTATCTGAGGCATCTTCTGCTTCTGAAAGCTTCTCATCATTTTCCAGTGTTTGCTGAAGTTCATGGATGGTGCTCAGAAGTACATGGAACTGCTTTCGTCTCGACTCCAGTTTGTCTTCTACATTTTCTTTGATGTGGGAGAGATGCTGAAGTTCTTTTCCCAGAGCTTCTAACTGCTTGAGTGTTTCATGCCTATCCAGATTATGCTGTATTACTTAAGCCAAAGCATCATATTCTTGGCAATTTTTTTCGTAATCTTTTTACCTGAAGAATCTGCTTTTTGCACTCTGCAATTTTCTCATGTGCTGCAGCTATTTCTGTATCATTGTAGATTTTTTCGTAGTTCTCCATGTTTCTGAGGTTCATCTCATATACAAGCAAGGTTTTTCCCATTGAAAATTCACACTGTGACAGAGTGCTCAGCATGCATTGGTACTGGGTGTAGCCGCCTTCATGGGATCCGGAGTTGCACTTGATGAAACTCTTCACCAACAAATTTGTCGTCGCCAGCACCTTCTCCGTCAATCAATAGTCGTTTGCGAATAACTTCATCATCGGTGATGGCGCCCATGGCGGCGAGCGAGTGAGCCAATATCCCATTTTCTTTGAGCCATGCTCTCGTGTGAGATTGTGGTTTCCTCTGGGACATGTTGTGGGGTGTAAGATGTATCCACACACACACACACACACACACACACACACAGTGGGCTGTGTGATTAGTTTACCCTCCCTGCCACACACACTTATCTTGTTCTTGATGTCCTCAAAAGTAGGTTGGTTGCGGCACCAACACCAAAAGTATTCTCTAGTCTGTAAATCCTTCGCTTGTAATTGCTACGCGTGGTGAAAACTCCATAATTACTCAGTGGGCAGAGGAAAAACTGCACCTGCACCAAAATTGCCGCACACACTTCCAGCCCTTCCTCAACACATTGCAAGGGGGCCCTGCAACAAAATGTTGTAGTGTGCTCTCACTTCTTGGCAAGAGCGCTCCCATTTTGGCAATGGGCCATTCTACTACTAGTGGAATGACCATAGCCAGAACGATAGCTAGGTGATCTTGCGCCCCTGGCAGAACCATCCAGATTGCAACTGGACAAATTAGGACAAATTAGGTCTTTTTACCGCCTCTCCTCCAAACCCCACCCCCTCCACCCATTCAATTCACCCTTTATTCAAAACCTTTTCTTAAGAGGCAATAATTGATATTTTTGTTTGTAGACATATTTATGGACATATTTTAAAGCCGATTTTGCTCCTCCTCACCTGCACCCTTGGGGGGGGCCCACCAAGATACAGTCCTGACCATAGCTCAGTGGTGGTACAACTGTTTTGCATGCAGAAGGCTGCTGATTTGATCCCCTGCACCTCCAGGTAGGGCTGCAAATCACTCCTGGTCTCAAATCTTAGAGAGATGTGACCAGGCAGTGTAGACAATGGGAGACTACATGAGCCAAGACTCGCTCTTGTACAAGGCTGGTCCCAATGTTCCTTAGGGCTTTCTCATCCACCTGGCCAGCTTTTCTGTATTAATTTCCCAGCTGATTAAACATTCAGCATGCTCGTTGCACTTTTTTTGGTGGGATTACCTCCTCAAGGTTTTCCTCTCTTTTTTTTTGCGTTTCAGCAAATCTCAGAGTTTGCCGATTCCTCCCTCCTGGGCCCACATTTTGTGTCCGATCTCTGGCAGCACTCGCCATCCAAGATCACTATTGGAGCAAACTGCTGTTGATTGAGATGCGAAAACAACTGTTTTAAGTTAAGCAACTCACTAATTCAAGTGTATATCCAAAATAGTGTTGTGGTAAGCACCGTCCCTTTATTTTCAAGAGTATGCAGAAATGTAAAAAAAAAAAAAACTAGACAGAATAGGTTGCAGTATATAGCTGCTTTTTTAAAAAAATGCAAATATAACTCACACTTCTTTTTTCATGGCTGCATCCTGTCTGAACATGTGCACTGGATGAACTCTAGCAAACCCAAGCGCTGGGTGAAATTGAGTGAATGGGCTGGATCTAGAGTTTCTTGTCTGCCAACAGAAGGACTCCCTTGTTTGTGGAGGGGACTGGGGTCCATGGAGCCGCCTTGCTCGAGAAAGGGGTCAGGACAGAATTTCAGCCAATTCCTCCCCACCAGCACTGCCTCCCATGCTGTTTCTCACAAGCATTCTGAAGCAACTTTTTAGGCGGCTGCAGCGATTAGGAGGAATTGCCACTCCCTCCAGTAGAAGCAAAACGCCACTGCACACAAACCAATTCCTTTCTCTTTCTTCTTGTTTTGTGCATCAAGTTCCATGTGTGGATCAGTTTCCAAAGCCGTCAATTTGCAATAGCAAATCTGCATTTAAATACCATATCGAATTCTAGGAAGAGCCAGAGTAATGACAATTTAAACTTGACTCAATTAGTTTAACAATAATGATATTAATTTATTATTTGTACCCCGGCCATCTGACTGGGTTTTCCCAGCCACTCTGGGCGGCTTCCAACAAAGATTAAAAATACATTAAAATGTCACACATTAAAAACTTCCCTAAACAGGGCTGCTTTCAGATGTCTTCTGAATGTGAGGTAGTTGTTTATCTCTTTGACGTCTGATGGGAGGGCGTTCCACAGGGCAGGCGCCAAGAAGGCCCTCTGCCTGGTTCCCTGTAACCTCGCTTCTCGCAGTGAGGGAACTGCCAGAAGGCCCTCGGAGCTGGACCTCAGTGTCCGGGCAGAACAATGGGGGTGGAGACGCTCCTTCAGGTATACAGGACTGAGGCCATTTAGGGCTTTCAAGGTCAGCATCAACACTTTGAATTCTGCTCGGAAACATACTGGGAGCCAGTGTAGGACTTTCAGGACCAGTGTTATGCGGTCTCAGCGGCCGCTCCCAGTCACCAGTCTAGCTGCCACATTCTGGATTAGTTGTAGTTTCCAGGTCATCTTCAAAGGTAGCCCCACTTAGAGCACATTGCAGTAGTCCAAGCAAGAGATAACTAGAGCACGCACCACTCTGGCGAGACAGTCCGTGGGCTGGTAGGGTCTCAGCCTGTGTACCAGATGGAGCTGGTAAACAGCTGCCCTGGATACAGAATTAACCTGCACCTCTATGGACAGCTGTGAGCCCAAAATGACTCCCAGGCTACGCACCTGGTCCTGCAGGGACACAGTGACCCCATTCAAGACCAGAGAGTCCTCCACACCAGCCCGCCCCGTCCCCCCAAGAACAGTACAGTGGTACCTCGGGTTAAGAACTTAATTCGTTCCAGAGGTCTGTTCTTAACCTGAAACTGTTCTTAACCTGAAGCACCACTTTAACTAATGGGGCCTCCTGCTGCTGCCACGCCACCGGAGCACTATTTCTGTTCTCATCCTGAAGCAAAGTTCTTAACCCGAGGTACTATTTCTGGGTAAGCAGAGTCTGTAACCTGAAGCGTATGTAACCCGAGGTACCACCGTACTTCTGTCTTGTTAGGATTCAACCTCAATCACTGCATCCAGGACCTTCACTGGTTCCGATTTGAAAGAGCGGTAGAGCTGGGTATCATATGCATATTAATGGACACCCAGCCCAAACCCCGATTATCTCTCCCAGTGGCTTCATGTAGATGTTAAAAAGCAGCAGTTTCGCAATGCCCACAACTAGCCCTACAGTGGTACCTCGGGTTATGAACTTAATTCGTTCTGGAGGTCCGTTTTTAACCTGAGGCACACTTTTGCTAATAGGGCCTCCTGCTGCCACCGCACAATTTCCGTTCTCATCCTGGGGCAAAGTTCGCAAACCGGAGCAACTACTTCCATGTTAGCGGACTTTGTAACCCAAAGCGTTTGTAATTCGAGGTACCACTGTATTTTGTTGGAAGTCCTAGAGATGTTGATAAGTATGTTTAAGGCGGTAACCACCTTAAGCTTTAGAACAGTTCGTTTTGCTTCCTCAGTTGATGGCTGGGTTGCATTAAAGGCATCTGCGACAGACCTTTCATATCTCCTCAAGCACTGTGATTTTAAATTGGGTTCACACTCATACAGGCATTTAGCCATCAAGGCTGAGAGAACTGAGAGATGCATCCTGACCCAACTTCTACTGCAGTGTTCCTAGAGTGTGCTCCAATTGGGAGAAAATTAACGTTTTCACAAATTGCAGTTCCTCAGAAAATACTGCAGGGAAGTTTGTAATTATAATATAGGAAAATAGCTCTTAGTTGTGGTTATCAAATGCTGTGTCCCATTAACTCAAGGATGCATGGCCACAAATGAGAGACTGCATGCTCTGGACAGGAGGCCCCTAATGAAATAATTGGCAGGACCCGAAGAAACTGCAGGGTTAACACGAACTCCCTTCAGACCTGGGAGAGCTGCTGACTGAATTTCATCAGATGGGACGCAGTTTCCGATTTGTCTACTTTTGTTTTTAAGCCCACATTGTCATTCATAGTCAACCTGTGACAACTTGTTGGCTAGTGCCATGTGTTTTCTTCT